CATAAAAAGCGTAGAATTTGTTTTTGGAAAAAATTGAAAACATGTCAAGTCTTTCATTTTACTCTCCATTTTTGACAAATGTCAAAAAAAATTGCCTTAAATTTGTAAAAGTTATGACGTCATCAATGGTTTTTTTAAATGAGACGCTATAATTTTGAACGGAATATTTGATAAAGCTTATTTTTCTACATACGAAAATGTAGCTTGATGTAGGGACAAAAAAATAGAGAAAATTAATAACAAACGGAATAACCATGTTAGGACCATGAAACAAAATGAAATCCAAATAACTAAAAATTAAAACAAAGATCTGTCAAAGAGAATCGCCTTTGTCAGTTTCTTAAGTTGGTTTAATAAAATAAAGTTTTTGGCTGTAAGTAATCCGGTAGTTTGTAACTTGTAGATAAATATGTTTTTTGTCTGATCTCATAGTAAACTGAAATAAAATGGGTAGAATGAGAACAGTGCGGGTGGACGGCACCAGTACCTGACAAGGTAGGACTGACTTTGGTAAATGCCTGACCCTCTCAGAACATAAAGGGTGGGTGGGCGGGGATAGTATTTCTTAAGATAAGTCTGATTTTGGTAAATGACCTAACAGTATTAAGAGTAATCACTGCAATGAAGAGAGGGTGCGTGGGCGGGGCTATTGCTTGCTTATAACAGACTCTGTAAGGAAAAGTTAACGTTAGCCCCGCCCACCCACCCGTTCACCAATTTTTTTCTTCTGAAATAAGAAATAAATCTTATAGCAAATGGTATAGAAAAAATTACGAGTAGGGCTTTTGTCTACAGCCGACATTTTATTGGTTCCCATTCTCACTCTACAAAAGAATATATAATTAACCCCGCCCACCCACCCTGCCTTCATTTTAGTGATCCATTTTATCTAGTCCGAATTAAAATTGGATCTCATACTGAACAGAAATAAAATGGGTAGAATGAGAACAGCGCGGGTGGACGGGGCCAGTACTTGACAAGGTAGGACTGACTTTGGTAAATGACTTACCCTCTAAGAAAATAAAGGGTGGGCGGGCGGGGCTAGTATTTGCTAAGATAAGACTGGCTGCGGAAAAGCACATGCTATCTAAGAAAATACAAGACGAGTGGGCGGGGATAGTATTTCTTAAGATAAGTCTGATTTTGGTAAATGACTGAATAGTACATATTAAGAGTAATCACTGCAATGAAGAGAGGGTGCGTGGGCGGGGCTATTGCTTGCTTATTAAAGACTCTGTAAGGAAAAGTTAACCTTAGCCCCGCCCACTCACCCGTTCACCCATTTTTTTCTTCTGAAATAAGAAATAAATTTTATAGCAAATAGTATAACAAAAAATTACGATTAGCGATTTTTTTAAAGCCGACATTTTATTGGTTCCCATTCTCACTCTACGAGAGAACATTTAATTAAGCACGCTCACTCATCCTGCCTTCATTTCAGTATTTTATTTTATCTAGTCCGAATGAAAGGTGTATCTCATACTCATAGGACTGACTTTGGTAAATGACTTACCCTCTAAGAGAATAAAGTGTGGGTGGAGCTAGTATCTCTTAAGATAACGCTGATTCTGGTAAATGACTGAACAATATTAAAAGTAATCACTGGAATGAAGAGGGGGTGGGTGGGCGGGGCTATTGCTTGATTATGAAAGAGTCTGTAGAAAAGAACGTATAGAAATCCTAATGACGGTAGGTTATGGCGATAGGCTTTGAAGCCACGAAGAAGTGTGTGCTTTATTCAACGAAGTACATTTTGAACGAACTCCAATTGCTAAAAGCACAGTTAGTAGAATTGTTGCAAAATTTAATCAAACAGGAAACGTGAGAGATGTTTCAAGATGTGAAAGACCACAAATAACCTATAACACTAAGTTGAATCTCTTGCTGTCATTGGAGGAAAATTCCCATTTACCAAGGACAGAAATTGCTTTACAAGAAAATGTTAGCCAGTTGTTTGTGGTAAAGTTAGGGCACCATAACATTATGGCGTAAACGTAAGGTTTTTTTGGATAATCAATTTGATGGAAGGTGGATTGGAAGGTGTGCACCAATAGCATGGCCACCTAGGTCTCCGGATCTGACACCCCTTGGGTCATTTAAAAAATCATATTTATATGAACAGACCCGATAATAATTTAGATTTAGACGACTGAAAAGCACCAATTCGTTATGAAATGACTCGTATAAGCCCCAGAGTATTGAAAATTCCGTCAATCAGATCTACCATCGTCTGGGTTTGTGTCAGATAGTGAATGGGGAACAGTTTGAACAATTTCTATAGCATAAATTTTTAGTCCAACGTATTGTTCTGTTTGTTTAATATTTACCATTAAAATCAAGTTTATTTTGTTTATATATGATCGTTTTCCGGGTTGGGACCATGTTAATTGAGTTTTTGGACTCAACGTTTCGTACACTTTCGTAAGTGGCATCTTCAGGAGCAGGGTTGAGAAACTAGGAAGAGTTACCATCCTCTTTTGCCTTATTCCTAATTTCTCAACCCTGCTCCTGAAGATGCCATTTACGAAAGTGCGCGAAACGTTGAGCCCAAAAACTTAATTAAAACGGTCCCAACCCGGAAAACGATCATATATTGACTCCGACCGTGGAAGCCTCTGAAATTATTTATTTTCTTTGTTATTAAGTTTCTGTTTGTTATGCAACCCCTAAATCGATCAACATTTCCATATGCAGAAAAATAAGCTTTATCAAATAATGCCATCAAAATTATACCTTCCTATTTAAAAAGAAATCATTGACGAGATCATAACTTTTACAAATTTGACATACATTTTTTTGGACATGTCAAAAGATGCAGAGTAAAATTAAAAGCTTGACATGTTTTTGCATTTTTTTTCAAAAACAAATGCTGCGCTTTTTATGAATTTTGTTCATTGATTTATCATAACCCTATATACGTACAAATAAATATGAAAATGCAGTGCTGAAAACAATGATTTAAGAAATAAAAATTTTCTCAAATATTTCATGAAACATCTATGAACAATCTGTCGTCCACATAATTTACTAATTTTGTTAATTTGTGAGCTTAGAAATTCTATGTGACAGGAAATTAACTGAAAAGTTGCTGAAATTCAAAATTAAGAGACCAGAATTCGGATTCTGATTACGCCGAGTGACACAATTCCTTCTACGACGAGCGGATCAGACAGAGAGCCGGAATTCCACTCCACCCTAATTCCATTGATGTTCATCAATCCCTATATTTGACTTGTAAATACATTGATAAGTGTTATATCGAGAAAATCGTTCGTCGTTTGATTAAACCAGTTTAAATAAATAATTCTCTTTTTAAAATTAGGTGGTTTACATGCATTTTGTAGGGAAACAACTATGTCCTTATTAACAGTTTTCTGACAATTTGAATATGGCAAGTCAACTTGCTGTGAAAGCGTTGTTGAAGATGTCTGGGGGTTATCATCTATAACCTGTCCGACATTTTCAACAGCCTCGGGAGTTGGTTTTATTAATATGCGACTTCCTGATTTCCTCTTTGCTACCAATCTCCCGAAATAAAAAGAAATCGTGGAAGGTTATTTCGACAGAACTTCCTTCGCTCCAGAAGGGTAAATAACACCCCCTCAATCCCTGCGCCTCGAGGGTGTAAATTCCAAGGTAGCACGATCTGAACAAATGCTGACAATATGAAATATTCTTAATTCCAAGTACTTGTTTAACTTTAACTGTTTTGTTTATGTTCATGCGTTGAAAGAATACGACCATTAGCACCTCATACCGTATCACCGCTGGCATTGAAGTACGTAACGGTTGCATTAAATGCATGCATATGTATTAAAACAAACTGACATTTGATTGATTTTGTCTTTTCAACACAGAAGAGAGGACCAATTAATCAAGCAAGCATACTCATTTTTTTTGCCCAAAAAGTATAACTATATAATAAAAAGTACAAGAACAAAATAAATTGACTGATTCATTAATTTTTTTCAGTCACTGTGTATAAGAAAATCTAAAAAATATGAATGAGTTGTAAAGCACATGGACAAACTACAGTGTAATAATAACAGTTATTTATTCTATTATTGTATTCTCACATTGTAAAAATGGGATGTGCTGTTTCTGATTTGAAGAAAAAAACATTAGTCGAAAGGTGTTTGGACAGAACTTTCCTCGCTACTGAAAAACAATGATATTTTTTTTGAGTCACACTGTATACGCATTCCAAAAAAATATTAATGGAATGATAAATCACAAGTATAGACTCATCATATTTTGTACATTCGAGATAGGATTTATTCAGCAAAATTTTGGGGTGACGTCATCAATTTTTTAGGAGGTATGAGCGAATACATTTTGATCAAAGATTTACCATACTTATGATAACTTTAAAAGATCTCCATAATTTCAAAGCATTCGATTTTGTAGTTCCTGATTAAATCAATAAAATAAATTTACGCATTCATTAATTTTTTTGAGTCACCCTGTATATGCAAATCCAAAAAGTATGAATGGAATGACAAATTACAAGGACAGGCTCATCATATTTTGTTCAATTTAGATAGGATTTATTTGGCAAAATTTTGAGCTGACGTCATCAATTTTCTGGCGGGGAAAAGTAAATATATTTTGATGAAACATTTATCATGTTCATCATAACTTGAAAACATCTGCAAGTTTTCAAAGCATTCGATTTAGCTGATTCAAAATTAAGTTGCAAAATGTTGTTTTATAGTTTTGATTTTTTTTTTGTCGTAGTAAAAAATTTTTTTCACAACCACATTTTTAATTCATGGTTTGCTAGTTTTTCTGGAATATCTAGTGTAACCACATAACTGAATTCCATGTTGCCAGTATCAATTTATCGTTACGGAAAAACAAACACTTCAACGATAATGTTACGATAATGTTAATCACCTGTACTTTGTATTGTGAAAATTAAATTTTTTAGATAAGTAACAAATTGTGTACGCAACCAGCAAAATCAAGTAAGTAGTTAAGTATACTCTTAAAATTCTTATAGATTGATCGAATTCATTTATCTGATAAACTAAAACAATGAGATTTAGTTTTTAACTACATACTACATTAATTTGTGGTACAGATATTTATATAACTAACTGACAGCCAGAATGACACCCTACAAGAAAAGCTGGTACGTACTGAGTAAATGTTCCTAACTTTATTTTAAACGAAAAATTAAATACATTTACAGGTACTTCAGTCGTTGGCTCTTACTCTTGTCGATATTTTACACATTCTTCGGAACAGCATCAGGAAACTGCGATCAGTTATATTTTATGAAAAGCAGTACGCATCCAAATTTCGCTGTAGATGGTAGTGATCCGATGGTAGTGAAAATACAAACGGCTAAGGACGATTCTATACAAAAATGGCAGTTTGTTGGGGCTAACCATGTAGGCCTGTTCCACATTTTCAATAATGATACAGGGTAACTGAAAGTTGTATATTACAATAATTATGAAGACTAATAAATTTAAACCATCAGCACAGTTTTGGAAGAAGATCTTAATAACTGCGTTCTAGGACTATATCCATATTGCAGGGTGCGACTTAGCCCCGTAGAGTCAAACAAACATGTGCAAAAATGGTTCTTAAACTCCGACGGGACAATTACTAATGCGTACTCCCTGCAAAATTTGGATATTTACCGTCGGGTTTATGAACCAGGAACTGAGGTAATTACGTACAGAGAAAATTTAGGCGCAAATCAACTCTTTAAATTAGAAGAAACATCATAAATTCTACTCCAGCTTTGTAAAATTGATGCAGAACTACTGCTAATATTCATATGTATTTGTATTACTTTATCTTAACTTTTAAAAACTATCGTAAGATAATAAAAGATATATATATATTATTTTATAAAGTTAATAATCTACTTTGATAAGACTACATTCGGATGTAATAAACTCACCCAACAAACAGAAGATTTATCACAAATCTATACATACCATTTTTAAATACTTCAAAATTTCATAGACGGTCAAACAGAATGGCATCTTATAAAATTAAATGGTAAGTTTAATTGCTAATAATAATTACACTCTAAACTAGACCAAAATTATCCCAGGTATACCAACTTTTATCTTGTGTTGGCATTTTATACGAACTTTGTACTAACATCAGGAGACTGTAAAGACCTTTATCAGCAACAGCTTTTAAGAAGTACTGCCTCAGCTATGGTTGTCGAAAGCACAAATCCTTCACAGGTACAACTACAAGTATTTCTTAGCACTGCCCAACAACTGTGGTCGTTCCAACGTGGTTCTAGAGCTGGTTTATTTTACATCCTGCATGAATCTTCAGGGTAATTTATTTTCTCTAGTATGTAGTACTATAATACTAAAATAATGGATTTCATTCAACAGAATGGTCTTAGACATCAACATCTGTGACAGTGAGGGGCAATCTTGCACTTTAAAACTGACTTCTCTAAATCCAAACAATCGTCAACAACAGTGGTTTATCAATAAAGACGGAACAATTGCTAATTCGTTCAATCTTATGAATTTGGAAGTTCAAGGTGGTATTTATGCAAAAGGAACTCCTATCGTCATCAGCAATCCAAATGGTCTTCTGCAGCAACAATTTACCCTACAAGATAGGAGTCAGTAGTTTTTCACATAAAAATAATTAACCTACTCTGTGAAGAATTACATAAATTGTGCATTTAAAAATATTGTTTGTGATGTTTTACTTTCCATGTACTTCAATTCACTTCGGAGATTAAGCCACACTATTAAATCTCAAGAACTAATACTCCTAAGATTTTTATTAAGGTAAGTTTGAAGTTACCCGGAAAATTGATAGAAGATTCATTAATTATATTAAATAAATACTCCATGTTTGGACATTCTCGACTGTGTAAGAGCCTCTTCGGGACTCAGACGGTTGAATTAATCTCCCGAAGTTACAAATATCGGTAGTATTATTAAAACCTGCCTTAATTTTCAAGTACAAATATGCGAACTTTTAAATTTCGCCTTTTTCGAGTTTCAGACGACCGCTTAGACTTCCTCGGCGCAGCGCTTCCACAAATCCCGCCGAGATTTATGAACGCACATTAACACGATGAATTATAGAATTATGCAGACGTGCAATTAGAATGTTCGTCCGGTTGCCCATCTCTAATTCATCAGTCTCTTCGCATATTTCAAGCCGGACAGGTGAGATGTACTGGCTTGGAGTTTTTGCGACCGCTTTTAAATATTCCATAGTCCGCTTCGGTCTTGTATGAATTTTTAAGTGCGGCTTACCTTAACGCCCGCCCGTCCGTCTTGGTTTGGATTCATCATCGAACTGAATAAATTAGCACCTCGGCATGTTGTGTACAGGCGTTTAATTTTTTACGGACGATTTATGCCGCCCGTCCGCCGGACGAAGAACTAAAAGCTTGCTAATCTAATTATAGGAGATGATATTAAATTCGTTTCGTGGGAAAAGAAAACAGGAAGGAACGCGGAAACGATGGCAGTTGGTTATTAATTTTAATATTTGATGGTGGTGGAGGGAGGTGAAATATTGCTTAGAGCTTAAAAGCTGCACTAGTTGAAAGCCGATTTGCTTGTTATAAATTCTTATCGCGGGTTTTAGATAATGATGAAATATTTGTATTATATTAATTTATTAAACAGGTTGCACCAGTCGTCTCAATGCCCCCTGCACTGCTAAAATTTTCAGCGTGAGAAATTTCACTTTTTTGAATAATTTTTCAAAAACTTGACATGTTTAAGACAAGTACGACACAAAAAAAACTCTACAACCCCACTTTTTCAACATTTTCTCTCGTTCAAAAATTGTGAATATTTACCATGGTTATTGATGTGTTGATTTTTTTGGTTATCATGCACCTTTCAAGATTATGGTACTAATAATTTACAACCCTCTTCACACGTCCTTAACCCCTGCAGGTAAACTACCCAGCAGCGTCATACATATGCATGATTTGCGTCTATTATAACGAGTTTCCTAAGTGTTTGAAGCGTTTTCCCCTATAATCAGTACCTAAAGAGACCAATCAGAAGTCATTTGGTCAATATTTATTACCTCAAAACCAGAATTATAAACAGTAATAAGGCTTATAAATTCCTAAAATTTGAGACGGCAACTTGCTTAATCTTCTTTCAACTAATTTAAATCTGCTAATAATTTTATTTAAATTGGAAAACAAACCATTCGTACTTATTTTGTCAAGAATAATGCATATGATCTTAGACGAAAAAATAGATTCGAAACACGTCACTGTGCCTTAGGGAATCGTGAAAATTCTGCAAAAATATTTCTACAGGTCAAAAAATTTCTGGGTTATCTGTGTGATTGAATTTTTGTTGTTAGTTCATTTATTCTCGTACCAATGAATTATTTTCGCTATTGTAGCGTAAATACGTTAATACCGAGGCGCTTTACTAGTACCCAAAAGAGCACCATAAACGCGCTCATTGGTTTCTGTGCCTACCATGGCCGTAAGCGGAGACCAGAGTTGGCCCAACTCCAACCTCCGAGTGACTTAATTTCTTCTACGACGAGCGAATAACGCGGAGAGCCGCAATTCCTTCCATCCCCACACTATTCAAATAAATTTTGATACCTTATTTTCACCAAGCGTTTTTGCTGCCACTGATCTAAACTCCACGACAGGCTGATAAACAAACATACCTGAAACAACAACAAAAACATTGTTACATATACCGAATGTTCACATTGTGTTTCGATTAATAAAAGCTTACCATATTTGATAAAGCAACATGTATTTTTAAATCTTAAAAATTATATACGAATTTGACAAATTGCGAAAATAGGCTGTAATTTAAGAAAATGCAAAGTAGTCAAATGATTGAGGTGGAGGACGAAAAGGATCTCAGTGATGATGCAGAAAAAAAAAGAAATGATGACTCCGCAGAAGTAAATTAACTAAAAGATCTCCTACTTGAAATGTTGGTAGTGAAACGAGAGAGGCATTAGGAAAATGATAAGAAGGCTATTAGAAAAAAACGACGAAATGGTAACTGAAATAAAACAAATACGAAAGAAGTCCAAAGAATAAAAAAAAAATTGAAATATGTCAAAGGAGAAAAAAGCAAATTGAAAAAGGAAACTGTACGAAAAGAGAACTTGGAAAAACAAAAATGAAGGAAAAATTTAGTATAGGTTAGACATTACAAGATATTACATTAAGCACGAAATAATGAAGGCAAAGAGAAGAACATGGCAAAGATACCTGACATGAAAATACCTAGATTATTTGCAATATAAGAATTATAGGAAGATCAAAAACTTTGTTCAGAAAGCTAAACCCAATGCATTGGAGAAATTTTCGAAGGGAATTGGGAGACGGGGAGAGCAGGTAATAAGAATTAAAAGAGAGTAAATAGTAGGAACACAGTGGAAGGAAGAGATGGTAATATTAAAAAAAAGGAACGATCAAACAAGGATGGACGGAATATTTCTCCGAAATACTAGAAGGAGAGGAAGTGAACAAATAATAAGAAAGTGACATAAGCTTAATAGAGAAATAAAATGTGAAGAAATGGGAGTGGACGAGGTTTGGGCGGCAACACTGATATTGGAAAGGAGACTTAGAAATATAATCAAGTCAACATTAGAAGATTCAGAAACAGATTTCAGGGAACATTGGAACATTCAGGAATGGACATTTGAAATGAGAAAAATTTGTGAGAAAACCATAAAAAAATGGAGGAGAAGATTTATTTAATTCGGTGAGCAGGTAAATGATATGGAAAATATTAGAGAAACGGAAAGTACTCGAAGAACTAATTAAGGCGATAAGAACAAATAACGTTATCAGAGGACAAATGGTATACAGGAAGCTAAGACCCATAATTATTAAAAGACTCATGTATGCAGATGATTTAATAATAATCGGTGTTCCAATAAAAAACGCGTTAAGAGGAAATATTGAGAAATGGAAACAAGAGTTGGAGAAAGACACAAATGAAAATGAAATTATTGAATTGAAGAGGTACAGAACATAAAATATTTAAGAACAATTGTAGACAAACATGTCAAAATGGAAATTGAAATCAACAACAGTAGGAACCAAAGAGCCAATAAGATTTATTATTCACCGCCTTCAAATATGGAGCAGGAAACTAGAGACTGACAGAAAGGCAGCTGAGCATAATTAGAGTATATCAGGTGAGATTCCTGAGGAAGATACTAGGAATACACAGCATGGATAAAGTCAAAAACACAGTTATAAAGGATATATTAGGAGTAAAAGCAACACAAGACAAAATAGCTAGAAGACAATTAAACTGAATTAAATTTTGAACAAAAAATAGTTTTGGCATTTTCGACCCAGAGTGCAAATTAATTTTACATTTAGATACCGTATGATTTTTTAAATTTGATATAAGAAGAGGCTCTGGAAACAAAAGATGTAAAAGATATAGGGGTAGTTTATTGATTTTTTAAATATCACTGTTATTGACAAAAATAGGAAATAACCTCAATTTGTGTCAATGACAGTGACATTTATATGAAAAGAAATTAAACTCCGCCCTACGTCTTTCGCATTTTTTGTTTCCAAAGCTTCCCCTTATCCCAATAAAAAATCATGGACACATACATTTCTTTTGTGTTATTATACCGGGTGTCTGGAAAATGGCGGATTAACTTTCCGCTACGCTCTTAACAATCAACTGGTAAGTCTGGGAAAAATAGTAAAAAAATTCCTTCTCACATTTTGGTGGAGTTATAATGATTTTAGAATTGGTTCTTTTGCAACGCTTAACAGCTAAACAACATGTTCGTTATTACAATAACTGGTAATAAAACTTTTAGCTAATATTTCTCTCGCCCATGACCATGTTTAATTATAAGTACCATTTCATTTAGAATGTTCAAAAGATATGGTTGTGTTATTTTTGTAATAATTTGATAAAATTTGTCCAAAGTTTTCAAAAACCTATGTTTAAAATGTTCGCAGTCCTCTGGTGTTTTATTCTCGGATAAACTTAAAGGAATCGTATGTTTTGTTGCTGAATGAAGTTGAAAAAATCTTTTGAGCTTTTAGTGATTTTATTTTTTTAATTCGGGAGATTCTTCAGTACCCATGGTGTATTATTTCAGCAGGTACTAACTCCACCCACTAGTTCTCTATTTTCTTAGCGGATATGTGATTTGCCAAAATCGATCTTATTTTAGAAGGTCCTCACCCCGCCCACCCACCCTCTATTTTCTTAGAGGGATCTCATTAGCCAAAATCAATCTTATTTTAGCACGTACTAGCCCTCTAAGGAAGTAGGCGGGCAGGTGGGACTAGTACTTGCCAAAATAGAATTGATTTTGGCAAATGATGTACTCTCTAAGAAAATAAAGAGCGGGTGGACGGGGTTAGTACTTGCTAAGATAAAACTGATGTTACCAAATGGCAAACCTTCGAAGAAAATAAAAGGGTGGGTGGGCGGGGCCAATACTTGCGAAAATAAGACTGATTTTGCCAAATGATATACTTTCTAGCTTTCATTTTCTTAGAGGGTATGTCATTTGTTACCTTAGCAGGTAACAGCCCCGCCCATCCTCCCTCTCTTTTCTTAGAGGATATGTCATTTGCGAAAATCAGTTTTATCTTAGCGGGTACTAGCCCCGCCCACCCACCCTGTCTTTTCTGGATATGTGATTTGCCAAAATTAGTTTTATATTGGCAACTTCTTTCTC